GTCCCGCCGCCGCGCCATGTGACAGCCCGGCGGGGATAATAAGCGACAGCGATGAGCCGGGCTGGGCTTCTCCGGAGGGTCAGCCGCAGGGACATACCGCAGCAGCAGCAGTAGCAGAGAGAGAAGGGGCAGGAGAGAGAGGGAAGGAAGGTCACCACAGGTCAGCACCTACCTGACAGTTTCAGCTTCTGCTCTCAGCAACTCGTCAGTATTCACTGCCTGTCACCTTGGAAAAAGAAAAAAAAGAAAGAAAAAGACACTGCTGCTTACAACCCATCAGAAAGTAAACTAAACTTAAAACGTAGTAGGAAGCCACAGCAGCTGAAGCTGATCCCCAGGTAGCATGAATAGCATGAACCAGATAGAAACAAACATGCAGTACACCTACAACTATGAAGAAGATGAGTACATGACCCAAGAAGAAGAATGGGACAGGGACCTGCTCCTGGACCCAGCATGGGAGAAACAACAAAGGAAGGTCTGGAAGTAATGTGTGTCTGTGTATGTGCCTCTGTGGGGAACGATGTGTTTTCTTACTGCCATGCTGCATCTGGAGTTGCCAGGGCTGTGCAGTAAGGCCTTCTAGTTTTGTGAGACAATATATTTTACATTGTATAAAGTATGTGTATGATGTATATTAGCTATGCCGTATTTTTAGGATAAAGTATTCACTTTTTGGATTCTTAAACAAAACCTATGTAAGGTGAAACTAATTTGTGATAGTCAGGGGTTTCTTTTTATATTGCGCTGGAAGTATTCTGTCAGTACCTCTGTATTTATATATTGGTATTTCAGAAATTTTTAACTTTAATTCCTGGGTCTTCCTTTCAGAAGGCAAACTCTGAAATGATGTCTGTGCCTGATTGCTTTTCAAAAGCAGTAAATGGCAACTATCAACAGGGACATGAATGAGATGGTTCACAACGGGTGTGCTACAATTTTTGCAGTATTCCTAAGAACATACTGAGAAATAACTTTTGAAATCATGATCTTGCAAGTCAGCTTTCTTAGAATTTGCTCTTAATTCTGACTGAATAGTCCGACAAGGAAAATATTGCCTAGAAATATATCCAGGCTACATTTGGAAAACTGGATTATACAATTAGGTTCCCACATGCCAATTCACTGTCTGGGAAAAAAACAGGTCTGTAAACTTCTTGCAATATACCATTGTAGAAGAAATGCTTTTACCTTTTAGGTGTAAAAAACTTGCACAAGCAAGTACTGCCCATGCTCTTTTTCTGAACATAGGTAGAGATTATAATCCCATCCCTAGTTTTGCCAGTGGTTTGGTACTTTAATAAGATTTGCAGTATCTAATGTCAGAACACTGAGTTTTAACTGGTATATGGAAAAAGAGAAGTGAAATATAAAGGATTTGTTGCTTCCTAATGTGAAAGGTGATGCTGAAGTCACAGCTGACAGATCTGGGATTAAAAGGTTATCTGCTGGTTACAAGAATTAAAAAAATTAAGGGGGGGGGGACACTCAGAGAAATGGTGCTGTAGACAAGAAGGCTGAAAATACTTTTTGCTATGTATAAGCAGCTCCCTTAGTAGAAGTTGCCAGTTTATACTGATGACAGTCTGGTCCACTGTTACTGTCAGCCTCTATAAAAGCAATACTTCAAAAGTATAGCTATAAAAGTAAGAGCTGTTAGATTGTTGGGGCTAGTGGATTTGCTTTCTATTAAGATTGGTAGAGCCAATATTTTCTTCTCAGTTTTTACTTGTAGCCTTCCTTCTTCTTGACTTTTAGCTGGTTTTATTAATTTTCTTGCATTTACACGTGTTTGAATCCTGCTGTACAAGTATGGCGAGAGAAGTTCTGGGGTAGGCTGAAGTTCACATTTCTTGATCTAGCAGCTGCAGCAACTCCTAAGCAATTATTAAGCTGTACTTATCAACACATTTGTTTTAATTTAGATGGTGAGCTATTCTTTTATGTTTTATAATGAGAATGGAAATTATCTTGGTGCTTCAGTGCTTTAGTGATTGGAAACTGCTCAGCCGAAACAAGTCTTTGTTACATCTGATTCGGATTCGATTGTCCAGCATTTCAGAGAATGCTCTTTTCAAAATAAAGAAATAATGGACTGGTTACTAGACAGCACTCAGGTGCAGTTTTCCTACAATGCAGATAAATAATAAAAAATAAAGCTAATTTGGATTCTGTTTACAGTAAGTCTCTTGACTTTTAGAGAAGAGCAGGCAGCAGTTAATATAAGACCCAATAGCAAATGTTTTGTTTCCGTTCCTCGATACAGACAGTGCTTCTGCAGAAAGTCAGGTTTTCACATTCATAAATTAAACCAGACTCTGCTTTACGTCCACAGAGTAGAGAGACTGCAGCTTTGCTCCTTTATGTTGCTGGTTCCCAGGGCTTAGTTTTAATATTGAAGTGGTACCACTTTCAAATAAAATTCGTGAGAAGGAATCCTCATTCCTTATCCTGGAAAGGAGCTTCAATTTATTATTGCCTGAAATACAGGTACTCTTGTCATAAGGGGCCTGCTAAACTTTATAAAATTTCAAGGCTTCTATATTTTTTCCAAGTGGTGCTAAGAGAGTTGCAGCGAGTGTTTTCTTTATTTCCTTATTTATTAGGAGAAGATTGCAGATACATGGGCACAGATCTTTGCTCTAACTGGTAATATAATATTGAAAAGTGATCTCAGTGGAGCCCTGGCAGTTGGCAGCATATATTTTCTATTAGATACTCTTGGAACAAACCAAAAATAAATGCCATTGTTTCTATTGTGGGCTGCCCTCTCCAGACTTGCCATTTCAGTGATATGCCTGGTATGAGATCTGTCAACAGATGCTGGTAACACATGATGACGTCCATAGGATTACAATGGATGTGACGCCTAATTATAACCATGGTTCATAGAGTATTATGGTCTGCTGTAATCCAGGCTCCTTGGTGGTTGCAGATGTCAGATTAAATATGAAGTACACTATAGGAAAGGAAGCTGAGTTGTAGTTTAGCTCTGTCTCTCCGAATGTGAACAACAATTGAAATACTTTAGTTGGAGTTAAATTTATCCCGTATCAAATCAGGAAATCAAGAAAATACAATAATTCAACCATTTGCTGCACTAGACATTATTGGTAAAAACTTAAACAGGTTCATATGGTTGGAAATTTCAGGCAGCAACTTTAAAGAAAGACTAAATGTCAAAAAATGCCCACGTATTTTGGATGGGCATGCTGTCTTCAGTAGGAACTAATTAGAGAACTACAGCCTTGGCAACTTCTAAACATGTAGATGGGAAGCATCAGACTGGAAACATCTGAAATCTACTCCTTCACCCAGTACACTTCCACTGGCCATGTGCGCTTAAACAGCCACTGAAAGATCTATGGAAGTGGCCCCTTGTTCCTTCAGCAGTACATGGAAATACGAAAATATATAGGAAATCAAAAAGTCTGGCCAGAGGGGGTGGGATTCTCGTGTTCACTCTGCTGTGTAACCTTAGGCAAGGTCAGCTTACCTCAGACCTTGGTTTTCCCACTGTTAGAAAGAGAACAGCAGTGATAATTGTAACAACTGACAGAAGTGGCTGATTCTATGGTATGTCAGACTAGTGATTAGTTGTCTTTCAGTCCCTACCCTGATGGACTGGAATGAAAGTAAAAATCATGCTAGCTCATAGTGGAAGACTTAAGACCTGATTTATCTTCTCTCCATGATAGATTTATTTCTTAAACTTCAACAAAACTTCAACAGACTCCACAAACCTTTTAATTTTCACTAAGCCTGTATCTTAATATAACTAAAAGGAACATAGGGAAATGCAGTGTCTCTTAGCTTAGGAAACCAAGTACAACAATACTACTCAAAATGCAAACATATACTGTTTGCAACATGTTTGAACTGCCAACACTACTTGGTGTTAAATGGTGCTCGCTCTTATTTGTAACTTTTGCTGTAAATACTTTATTTGAGCTTTGACATGAAATGTGGTTTGTTAGTTTTTGAAGGAAGTCTTCAGTCTTCAGGATAAAGATCTGAAGGTTGTGATTTCTTCTTCAGGACAGTTGTATTGTAAAGCATTCAACTGGTTCCATGTTTTTCATGTGGGTCTTCTCCAGTCATTCAGACATGTCTGTGACACTTCTGCATTAGCACGTGTAAGAAAATAACTAGAAACATACTTCCTGCCTTACTGACACTATTATAGATGAATACTTATTCTAGCTTGCTTTCTGGCCCTGGTACCACTGCTTTGTTAATGTGGAATGGGTTTTAATGTAGGTCAGTGCAATTTCTGACCATTTTGATGGGGTTTTACACTGGTATAGAGCAAACGAGCAGACTCAGAATATTTATTCACCGTCATATTGCATTCTTTGTGAATGCAAATCTTCTTGATGACACTGAATGCTGTGGATGAGTGAGGACTTCGGGAAGATTTTTTGGGAAAGAAGCTGTGTCTTCCCAGTCTTCAGCAGTACATAGCAGATTACATGTTCAGTGTGACCTGTAAGGATTTATCTGCATTACCTCCTTTGGCTGGTAACACAACTCCTGTTGTCCTTGCAAATAAAAAAAAAGCATTTGGAAGCCACATGCATAGCAAATTATGTGGAAGAAGCTACCAGGACTATGAATTATGGATAACATCCTTCTTTTTCTACTGTTGCTGCAACTTCTAAACTCAGCAGATTTGAGAGGTTCATTGCAGTCTGAAAGAAAAGTTGACCTTGTGTTCAGTCTGACTTCAATGTCTATAAATAGAGCTACAGTCAGTGTCCCGGATTCACTCCGAAGCTTGTGTGGTCTTCTATGGATGGAATTGAAACTGATTTCTTATCAGAAACCTTTTCCTGGAAGAAGTCTACTGGTGAATGAGAAGACAGATGAAGTAGTGGAAAGCTTCATGCTTCAACCAGGGGAAAAAGGAGAGAAATAACCAAGCCTGAACGAGTAAGAAAGAAATGCAGGGCAGAAAAATATTGGCAAGAGAGACTAGATTCCACCTGCAAAATTCAGTACTGTATAACCACTCCTTATGGGTTTACAGGCTCTGAATTTAAATCATTGTCATGGAGAAAGTGCAGGTGTAACAGTAAAACAGAATCAGGGGTAGTAAATAGAGAGTATGAGGTGGTTCCAGCCAGATACCCCCTCTTCCCATCCCAGTACCCATATAGTACTGAAACATGGAAGAGTCATGAGGAGGCTCAGGGGGTGCAGTGAAAGCTGAATAGACTGGGATTTAAAATCCCTATTTTCACAATTTGTGTGGAAGTCTAGTGTTGTGGAGTATGTGAATGGTGGAAACCCCTTATAAGCTTGGGAGTTGGACTAAACGATCTTTAGAAGTCCGTTACAACCCAAACCATTGTGAGATTCTGTGAGAATATAGCAATATCTACAGTGTATTCAGGGCATTCCAGCCTAGGTCTTGCCCTTTTACAGAGATTATCTGGAAATAGTCAAAGTTGGGGGTTTGGATGTGGTTTTGAGGGG